ATAGTGGCGGCTGTTGTAAGTCACACCTGATATCCATCAGCAGCTAAGGCTCCATTCCGAATACACACGCTGAACTAAAATCTTCTGGATCGATGGTATCTCGGCTCACATCGCGGCCCGGTTCAGCTGCCTCGGGAACCCCATTGACGCCTGGCAGAGACGGAGAGATTGTGCCGACCAAAGCCGTAATGGTAGGCGGTTTTGCTACGCCCTGCTGGAATGAACGCTTTTCCATATAATATAGATGTTGTGTCTCTAGTTGCGCCCCGTCTTTAAAGTGTCTGCTCGACTAGCCAGGTCAATGACCAAGATTATGCATTATGTACCGACCATTCAAGAAATCGGTTTCAACAGGTAAACGAGTTGTTAAATTGATTGGTTAATTTGTGATCTTATTTGCATTTTTTAAAAAAAAATTAATAAGGTGATTTGTCTTGACGTCTCTCGTCTTCTTTGTCTTTAGCTCACGTGTTCATATGTCGGATTTATTGCCTACCCCGTCCCGATGTGCGTTGTTCAGATCAATGGATGGCCTAAGCTCTGCTCGAGGGTTTAATTTAGCGGTCACGTCCATACGACCAGCATATTTCATTTCTCCCTGTCTTTAAATGTGCTTTTCAACACCTTCCTTTGCGATCTTTTGTTAAAAGTGTCGTACGCTGTGAACTTTTGCAATAAGTTCGCCCCTGTCGGAGGGGCATTCCAAGACACATGTTGCCAGGCTGGCTAAGCATGCATTCCTTGGCCACAATATGTCAGCACCCGCAGCCGTCGCTGAGTGGAAAGCTGACACACTCACTGTCGAGGGTGTGAGTTTGGAACAACAACATGGGCTGAGAATAGATCAGGAACGCAGCTACCACCTCGGTTTTGGGGCACCAGTAGGACATCGGCGATCGCTCTCCCCGTGCTGCGTTTTAGAAAAGCGGCTAAAACCTGCTTGGATCAAGTTGACATGCACCCATGATAAGGTCAGAGTATTTTGGCTACGATTCGATGCAAAATTGTTCTATGCACACAAATACATTGTTGCTTATTAATATTCGCAATATCATACGTTGTTTAAAGCTTGGAGGCGCACCAATCGCCGTGCGGACGTGGTTTTTGATGTGGGTAGAAACGCACTTGTTTGGACTGGGCTGACCAAATAAGAGGTGTGATTGATTGAGGACGTGTTTAAGGATTCCTGCCATATGGTTTCAGTCAGAGACCACAAAGTCATAACGGCATGTCAATGATGTCAGTGCATCGTCTACAAATTACGAAGCGAACTAAACACCGACCGGCCCAAGCTCCAAGGTGCGAGACGGCCAATGGCACATTTCTGAGACCAGGTATGACACACATTGCACGATGGGACATAAAATAAGCGAGATGGGGCCACGAAAACTACGTCGATGTGCAGGGTAGCTCCTTGTGACCAAAATCTACCTGAGAATTTTCGTGCTATTCATGACTCCGGTACCTTTGCTGCCCTCAACGAAAGAGCAACTGCTAGAAATATACACCGCACGTAGGTTTTCGTTGCTTCATGGATGCTTGATTAAGCAACCAAACCGTACTGCAGACCCCGGGCAACCCGGGAGTTTTGGTCACGTGACTGCACCGTTGTTTTGTAGCAATCACATAATTTGTGTCACAGTGTTTACAATTAATGTATGTTAGGCCAAACGTCGACCACGTGCTGACCACGTGCGGCGGCGGACGTGGTCTGTTTGTCGGGTTAAGGTCACCGACATGACCTTATCTCCCTCATAGTCCGACGTCAGCATTTCCTCTACATCAGTATGCTATTTCAATTGCATCTATTTTAATTTGCCTGAAGGGGGGGGGGGACGACTGAAATGATTAATGGGGCTGGGCAACGTCATTAACAGCTGTGCATGTGGAAAATATGCTATGCGGGTGGAAAATGCAGTCGAATTCTTGTGACCGTGTGGCACTGATTGAGGAGCTTATGAACATTCCTATTCGTGTCAACTTCCCTGTCTATTTTTGTAATGTTTCTTCCCACCCTGAAGGCGATCGTTCAGAATTGTGACGTCATATGCTGGCACGATTTGTTGACGCACTTATGTCGCGGTGCCGAGAGATAGGGCCGTAGATGATCTGATATGTGATATGTAGTTTATGACTGGATGCTCAAACTAAGGACCAAAGAGGCTTGCTCGCTGCAATGTCACACCCGACGTCTGAATGTCTATTTAAGTAGTCTTAAATATTCAGGCATATAAGACAGCTGTAATCGATGGACAACCGCTAATCGTCTACAAATATCACTAAAACTAAGTGGCCGGCCAGCTTTCGGACACGCGACCAAAACTCCTGGGCTTCTCGCCTCTAAAAGAATGACTGGCGTGACCCGACAGGGCGGTGGTGGAAGAAAACTGAGCCTGTGTGCAGCGGTGGTTCACCTGCTCCATCCGGCCTTTTTTCTCATTCTCACCTTATCTTGGATCCTCGGAACGTCCCGTTTGCCCAGGCAAGCTATGTGCGCCAGTCATGAGTGGGCTGTGTCCCCTGGTGTGTGGCCCGTCTGAGTGAATGCCCTGTAAAAGGGTCCATATGTGCGCTCGGTCTCGGCGGATGGGCACCCCAGTGCATGAAGCTTTGCCCCACTTTTTTCCATTCTCCTGAAATGGTCCTTACTGACCGAAAAGGCTCCAATCCAAATCAAACCCAATAGCCGAGGTGCTAGCCGTCGAAATGTGTTACGACACTTAACAGAAGCTTAGCGCAGGCAGATGTCCGATCTAAAGCTTGGTGAGACGTATGCGCGCCGGTGCACGTAAAAAAGACGTTTGTGTGAACGAATCCTTTAGTTTGCATGGATGACAGCACCGTTCACGGTTGTCTGATTCCTACTGTCGCACTCATGAACATCCAAAAGTCCAACGTAAAAGTTTTCGCGACAGATACCGTTGAAATCCGAACCGCCTTATGATTCTTTGACACCGGGGGCTTTCAGGAGAACATGACACTCCAGCACACAAGTGCCTGTACAAAGGCGGGCCGCGCGAGAGACTGTGTAAATCGAACTCGAATTCCGAACGGAACCGGGTCGAACGGACAACCGACATATTTCCGGGGTGCCTCATGTCCCTCACGTCAGACGCATCGTCCCCTGGACGCTGGCCAGCTACCAACTTTAAACCAGCTCAGCGTCAGACAGCATGCACCACCAAGCCTGCACCCTAGCCACTCAGCCTGGGGGGAGGCTTCGGTTCACCACCACGGCGGGGTTCGCTAGACGCGGCGAGCGCGCAGGGCGCGCCGGACGGCCGGGGTGATCCCGCACGTGCCGGTCTCGGGCGCAGCTCGT